GAAGGGCTTTTTAATTTGTTATTCGAAGTGTTGGGCTTTATTGGACCAACATGATGAAGTTGTCTTCTTTAAACCAGTTAAATGGATCGAGGTGGGCTTAAACAAAAGTATTGGTTCATAAATATCTTTTTTCTTTTTATGTGTGTACTTCATAACATATTTTTAACCTAACTATTTTGAATTATATCAATTAAAATTATTATAAAGGGTAAAGCTCTGCAACTAAATTTTTAATGCAATTATCTGTATCAAAAGTTCAAATTCAAGACTCTTAATTAAAGTAGAATAATTTGCTTATTGTACATGCGTTTAGCGATCCTATTGATATGGTGACAAAGTCATTAAAAAAAGCTGTTTTTTTGCTTAAGTTAATATTTTAGATATGTTATCATAATATTTTCACATTAAAATTATTTATTTTGAAATATTTACTGTGAACATTTCTTGTTTGAAGTTTTACTTTTCTTGTGTTATGCCATAATTATAACTATGATCTGATTGCATTTGTAACAAAGAATTAAGTATATGTTTAGATACCAATTTAAAATTATATTTAACGAAAAAATACATATTATGATGTAAAAAAGTAAAAGTTTGTGAGTATAATTTTTTTTAGGCTAAAACCCTATTTTGGTCCCTTAAAATCTTTTGTTGTTTCAATTTAGTCCTTCATTAATTTTTGGTCTCAAATTGGTCCTAAATTAATTAATTGATTTCAATTTAGTCCTAAATTAATTAATTAGTTTCAATGTGGGACTTTCGTTCAAATTATTTAAACGGAGTTAACTTTTGGCTACGTGGATGCCATGTAGATGCATACGTGGCATCCACGTGGATGAGAAAATTCTTTTTAAGACACCTGGACCTGGAACGGCCCGTTCTGAAACCGGAACGGGCCGTTCTGGTTGCAAAATTAAAACACCAACAGTGAAGAAGAACGGGCCGTTCTGAAACCAGAACGACCCGTTCTGGATTCAAAACGGCCCGTTCTGGATTCAGAACGGCCCGTTCTGAATTCAGAACGGCCCGTTCCAAAACTGTGAATAAAATATTCTATGCCTAATTGTGTTTTTGATCGCTCAAGTATTATAATTATGCAATTTTGATCCCTAAGGTTTTAATTGAGTAATTTCAGTCCTTAAAAGATTATAATTGTGTAATTTTAGTCTCACAATTTTTAATTGAACAATTTTAATCTCTCAAATATCATAATTGTGGAATTTTAGTCTTTCTCATTAAAAATTTAATAATTTTAAAATTTTAATATATATATATATATAGTTTTAAAACTATATAATTGTTTGTTTATTTAAATTAACGTATATTATTTTTTA